ATGTTTTGCGAAGAAAGCTTAGGAAAGATTAAATTAAGAGCTTTTCCGAAAAGTGTCGGTCCACGAATTCTATCGCTTGAAAGCGTTGATCACTTTGGAACAGGTGAACATTACTGAGTGGTCGAAAAAAAATAAGAATCATAAGACTGCCAAATATTTCGGGAATAAATCGGAATTTTTTTGTTTTGGAGGCAATGTCTCAAATGTTTGGGTGACAATACAATACAATAAAATTCAATAAAATGCAAAGTAAAGCAATGCAATGCAATGCAGTGCAATACAAAACAAAACAAAACAAAACAATACAATAAAATGCTATAACCTATATTTAACGCGGTGAAACCGGTGCTTAGCCAAATAGCTACTTTACAGACATGGGGGAAGAAGGTTTAAATTGTTACAATTCAGATAAAGCCTGAAACATGTTATAACCGTAGCGGCTTATGAGACATGCTTAAAAATAAGAGCACAAAACAGGAAAGGTCTAATTATTCCAATGGGATTCATGCACATAGTGTAATCAAAAAACTAAAAAAAATGAATACATTTTGGAGCGCAAATAATAGCGGTGCCCCGGCGAGAGGAACTCATTCACTCGCCGCCAGTCCCTACGCAGGCCAAAGGATCTGTTAATAGTAAATTGTGTTCTCTTTTGTACTATCTTGCACTTCTGTTTTACTTGGCATAATTTTATCAAAAAAATTCAAGAAAAATTCAGGAACTATCGACATGAAATAAGTTCTAATTTGAAACTGTAAGGACACCTAGGGAAACTACAGCTCGTGTCCTACTTTGCTTGAATGATGCACGGACGCGAAACAATCGTTGTAGGTGTCCATCAAATAGGGTCGATTGGTTGTGGGCTGATTAAAACAAGGAAGTTCATGTTAACAAAAAGCATAATTCAGCAGCAAATTTTTAGTTATTTAGTGGGGGTAGATATATTTAGGAGTGAAAAATGATAGCCAAGACTATTATTCATGGTAATTACTGACGCTTTAATAGTGAAATATTATTTCCCAAAACAGATGTGCAGATAATTTATAAGAACGTATAAATCGAGGAAAGATTATTTTTTGCTGGAGTTACCTCCAACACAGACGTCTTTTACAAGCCCAACTGATATTTTCCAAACAAAAACTATTAACATACTTTTTCGCTTCATCAGTAGGGACATCCAGTAAAGCATTTGCGAAAGGTTAGTTATTTATTTATAATCAAAACGAAACGGCTGAACAAATTAAAACTAGCCTGTACACAGACGTTGTTTTATTTTTCTTTTCGTTCTTTTCGAAAACATCGGCGAGCGAGAACGAGCGCGGAGCGCAAGAAAGAAAAATAAAGAATTTTGTCCTTCCTCACCCCTAACCCCTTCCGCTGGCGGTCAGTAAATCCCCGCCGTTTTTGTTTTTTATCACGCGCGCTCGATGGACTTTGAAGAGAAAATAGAGGGTCTGTGAACAGGCTAGAACAAAACGAAACATATTTAAGGTCTTTACTGCATGCGGTATCAGGCAGTCAGTGAACATCAATTTGATGTTAAACATACCATTTATAGAGCCATAGATATACTAATCTTAAAGAAGCAAATATAAGTCCTACTTAGACCGCTGTTCAGGACATGCAGTGGACCTTCAGATCTTTTCAAGTGTAGTAGGGGCACCCAACGACTGTTTCAGTCTGTTAGGAGATTAAGCCCAATCATTTTTTTTCTGGAAATTTCTATAGATAACTCGAGAAACTGGGTTAAAAGTTCTAGATGAAATTCATATAAGTTATTCGAAGTTTCAGTCTATTAAGTGTTCTACAATTTTCTGAAGGTTTAGACTCGGAAAAATGATTATGATTTTGTTTTCTTTGAAAGTTCTTTTGACAGTAACTTCATTAGATCGCATGCATGCAACAATTCGTCCCTTCAGGCATCGCTTCATCAAAAAGTGGGTATACGGGGTAACAATTGCTGGTGTCTGGGTTTTAACTGTAATTTTATCGACCGCCACTTTTATAGTTAGAAAACGATATGGAGAATGGTTGTATAGTTATTACGTATGGCAATCATTCATTTGTTTGTGTCAGTTGGTTATCTAGTTTGTTTCTTCCTCCTCCATTGTTCTAAAATTTCTGTGTGGAGCGGTGAAATAATTTTTGTATGTGTCGATCAAATAGTATAGGGCCAATTTGTTTTTTGTGCTGATTGACGAACAAAGTTCTAATTAAAAAAAATGTGGGGGTAGATATATTAAGCGGAAGATAATAAGCAAAGGAAATTATTCAACCTTAGCTCACTCTTTTGTGCAATATTTCCATATTTAAAACAGTCATGTGCAGATAATTTAAGACCGGAAGATTATTCTTCGCCGGAGTAACACTGTCCAACGCAGATGCCTTTTACAAGCCNTGGAAATTTCTATAGATAACTCGAGAAACTGGGTTAAAAGTTCTAGATGAAATTCATATAAGTTATTCGAAGTTTCAGTCTATTAAGTGTTCTACAATTTTCTGAAGGTTTAGACTCGGAAAAATGATTATGATTTTGTTTTCTTTGAAAGTTCTTTTGACAGTAACTTCATTAGATCGCATGCATGCAACAATTCGTCCCTTCAGGCATCGCTTCATCAAAAAGTGGGTATACGGGGTAACAATTGCTGGTGTCTGGGTTTTAACTGTAATTTTATCGACCGCCACTTTTATAGTTAGAAAACGATATGGAGAATGGTTGTATAGTTATTACGTATGGCAATCATTCATTTGTTTGTGTCAGTTGGTTATCTAGTTTGTTTCTTCCTCCTCCATTGTTCTAAAATTTCTGTGTGGAGCGGTGAAATAATTTTTGTATGTGTCGATCAAATAGTATAGGGCCAATTTGTTTTTTGTGCTGATTGACGAACAAAGTTCTAATTAAAAAAAATGTGGGGGTAGATATATTAAGCGGAAGATAATAAGCAAAGGAAATTATTCAACCTTAGCTCACTCTTTTGTGCAATATTTCCATATTTAAAACAGTCATGTGCAGATAATTTAAGACCGGAAGATTATTCTTCGCCGGAGTAACACTGTCCAACGCAGATGCCTTTTACAAGCCTAACTCTGATGATTAATTTTTCAAATATAGATGCATATTTTTCCCATCGCTTTATCAGAGCAGACATCCAGCAAAGCATTTTGTGAAAAGTTAGTTATTTAAAAGGAGAAAACCAAAAAACGTTTTAACTTTGGTATCGTACAATTGAGTATTTCTTTAAGAAACGGATATTTGACCTAAGTCCTGCTTAGACCACCGGTGCAAACATTCAGAGGACCTTCAGATCTTTTCATGTGGTAGAGGCACACAAAGACTTTTTTCTGTAGAATATCTGTTCAAAGAAACTCAGTATTGTATGTAGAATGCTATAGCTCGAGATAGGTTTAAAATTCTTAGATGAATGTTCCATTGTTTGTCTCAGTTTTTGGAATTCAGTCTGTTATTATGTTTCTACGATTAAGTAAATTTGGGTTTTTACCTTTCTTTTCCCAGGTTTAGTCATCATTGGTAAACTTGAAGGACTACTGGAATTTTCGGCTTTCTGAAACAATAACGGAATGAGGTATTGGAAAAAGTTGAGCTTAGAACGCGCGCATTTTCAGAGCTATAAGAGCACTCTTACTAACTGAAGTATTTGGAAAAAACATATCTAAAGCTCGTTAAAAAGAGGACATTTTGCAAATCCCTTAATTAGCCCATTGTTATATCTAGGTTCCACTGTATATTGCCGTATAAGCTGCTGTCGAGCTCACTATAGACGTCAGACCTAATTTCCTTCGTTAAGTCGTAAGGTTTTATTAATTTGGCGGAAGAACTTGTTGCGACCCGTATTGGAGTTACAAGACAAAAAACCTTGAAGAATGGTAACAAATTCATTTGACAGAAGCTACGTCACATAAAAAATAAATATGGAGCTAACATGACAAGAAGTTCGGTTGACTATGAAATTAGTAGAAGATAACTGACAATGCAATCGACTTTTTCCGTTCTCACTATGGATAATTGATTGTCTTAAAAGGGTTAGCTGAAATGGTCAGTCATTCTTATACTCAGGTGAACAAGCGCCGGCGTCAGTTAGTTAATTATTCAGCTGAAAACTATATATCAAACATTTATATTATCGCCCTCAGTTTATAGTCAACTGATTGTAATGTCCCCTGAAAAGCCTTTGATATTTTCTTCCATAGGACAAAGCAACCAACCAACCAACCAACTGAAAAACCTTTAGTTAAGGTGAGCATTTTTGCATAGTTTTATCAGGCAATTACAGATCAAATAATGTTTTAACGGGGCTTTTATTATATACAAGTTAAAAAAAAATACAATTTAAAGAAACGGTTCGTGTTCGTTTAGTACTCGAATGATAGACCGTGCGGCGATATTATCATTGCGAGTGCTGATCAAGTAGGGTCCATTTAATGTGGGCTGATTGAAAGAGGAAGTTCAATTTATACTACTGAAAGTTTAATTCAGAACCTTTTTTTTTAAGGCGGTACGTATATTAAGCGGAAAAATGATAAGAAAAGGCAATTATTTTAGTATTTTATGTTAAGTGCAATATTTTCCAAAACAGGTGTTCAGATAATTTAAGACCGTATTAATCGAGCCGGACGTTATTCTTCGCCGGAGTAACATCCAACGCAGAAGCCTTTACAAGCCTAATTGATATTTTGCAAACTCGTTTTCCGCTTCGTCAGCGGAGGCATCCAGCAAAGAATTTTTTGAAAGGTTTGTTATGCACAAGAAGAAAAGAAAATGCAAGTCTATCGTAGAGTTGAGCATTTATTTAAGAACCGCATATATTTAAACCTAAGTCCTACTAATAGCCGACTGTTTAGGACATTCATAGGACTTTTTGACCTTTTCAAACATGTGGTAGGGACCGGCGCAAAGGTTGAATTTTTTCTGTAGAAAAGCTATTCGAAGAGGCACAGAATTGTCTGGAAATTTCTATAGCTCGAGAAAAAAATTTCAAGATAAAAAATTTCCTTTCGTCTCAGTTTTTTGAAGCTTTAAGTCCATTAATTTTTCTACGATATTAAGTTCGTTTTTTACCTTTCACTTCCCAGGTTTGATCATCATTCCTAAAAAGGACTACTAAAATTTTTGGCCTTGGAAACAGTAACGGAAAGAGGTATCGCAAAATGTTGAGTTTTCAGTAAACTATACAAATTTTTAGAACAGTAATAAGAAGGAGGTATTAAATTCGCATAGACTAAGGAGCTCTAGAATTACAAAACAGTTAAAAATCTTATAGTGCTTCTTAGAAAGCATTTGCAAAGCTTTAAAAAAAGCTAAAAAGATATCCTAAAATGATTATAATAGGATTTTTGAGAAGGCTGGCTTTGTGTATGGTGGGTTGTTTCAAGCAGCGTGATGTTTCTCTCGCTCCTCACTATATATATGCCTACACATAAATGCTCGCAATGTTTAAATACAAGGTTAGCCAGCCGAAGGTGACTTGAACTCTCTTCATTTTTTCATATGAGAAATTTCAGTTCCGTTAACCGAGTGAAATTGTTTACGTATAAAGTTATGAATAAAATTATGAAAATCATATATGAGAACTGCGGGATGAAGAATTATGTAAAAGAAGATCATTGCAGTTAAAGACGCAACTTTTGCAATTGGGAAAAGAAAGCTTTTTGCGTCTATAACTGCAATGATCTTCTTTCATATAATTGTTTATGACTGTATAGTTTGCATCACAACGTAGCCTGAAAACTATGATATTTTCTCAGCAGTAGCTCTGAAAGTAACTTGACCATTTGCTGTGCAAAATCAAGAGTTCCCTTTTTATGATAACTTTTATAGCTTACAAAACAGAAAAACACCATTAAACTTCCTTTTTTTCAGCAGAGACGCATGCGGAATAAAAACTAAACCGTTTGTTCCAACAACCGTTACTGTCGATTAGCGTCCTAATGTATCTCAGATCTCGTAAGCGACCACTCAGTCTTTCTCATATAAAATGATTAGTGATATTTGCGGAACTAACATCAACCTTCTTTGTTCACGTTCTTCATTGAATTTTTTTTCAAATTCTTCTGAAACGTGGACGAGCAACAGAGAGAAAAAGGGAATTAAAAGTGTGAAGCGAAAAAAATAACAAGCCATGATATCATCCGAGTACATCACCTAGCTCGCTGTAATCCTTACCATGTCTGTTGCTATAGTAACAGAGAACCTTCTATCAATTGTTCTTTTTATAAAAAAACCGCAGTCTTCGCACTCGTGCCATGTACCTAGTTATAAACCTGACCATAGTTGATATGTTTGTCGGAGGATTTTCTCACTTTCCGCAGACATTGCAGTAATTTCATTGGATCAGATGCATGCAACAATTCGTCCCTATACAGCCCTTAGGCATCGCCTCATTAAAAAGTGAGTCTACGGGGTAACAATTGCTGCTCTTGTCTGGGTGTTACCTGAAATGTTTATTATACTAATCCTTAAGAATCGAATGTTTAACCAAAGTCCTATATTAAGCACATCTAGTGGACCTTCAGTCTTTTCATGTGGTAGCCCGGGGCACCCAAAGGCTGGTTTCTGTGAAATAGCTGTTCGAAGAAGTACATATTATCTAGAGATTTCTATAGCTCGAAAAAAGTTAAAAATTCGTAAATGAATGTATCATTCATCTCAGTTTTTCAACGTTTTCAGTGTATTAACTTCTATGATTGAAGCTGGGAATGGGATTTTCACTTTTCACTTGTCTTCCCATATTTGGTCATCATTCGCAAAAATGGACTACTTATAATAAATATTGGGCTTTAAAATCAGTAACGAAAAGATGTACATCGGAAAACGTTGAGTTTTCAGTATATTTAATAGCATCAAAGATTTTCGAAAAAGTAAAGCGCTAATAAATTCGCATCGGCTGAAGAAGCCCAAGAATGTGACCAAACAGATACAAACTTTATAGAGTTTCCTAGAACGCATATTTGCAGAGCTGCTTTTTAAAACAACAATCTTAAAGATATCCTTAAATGGTTTGAGTAAATTTTGGAGAGAGGCAGCGTCGGATATGGTGGGCGGGTTGTAGAGCGATGTTTCTCTCCTCCTCACTATAATATATACTTACCCACTAGGAGTAATCGGAGCTTAGAAGAGTGCTTTCGATATGTTTGTAAGGCGTACAGGTAGCAGTTGAGGAGCAAGGGTGGATGGTTATTGCGATAGATATGTGATCGCTACGATCGCTGCGATCGCTGAGAAAAAATAGTTCAGCGATCATATGGAAACCACTCTCCAGCGATCCGGATCGCAGCGACAACGATCGCTGAGATAGAACGTCATCTCAGCGATTGCTGTCGCTGCGATCGCTGCGATCGCTGGAGAGTGGTTTCATATGATCGCTGCGCTTGCTGAAGTTTTTTTTTTCTCAGCGATAATATATACTTGCAATGGAAAATGTTAAAATACAAGGATTGTCCGAGCTAAGCCGCGACTTAAGACCCTCTTCAGTCATATTTTCATGAGAAATTTTAGCTCCTTTAACCGAGTGAAATTGTTCATGAAGAGTTTGCATGAAACATTTAACTTTTTTTTCCGGTCTCACGATGGACGTTTGATTGTCCTAGAAGGGTTAACTGAAATGATAGTCACATTTTCATTTTGGTGATGCAGTTACTCCCTATATATTAAACAGACCTTCAATATTTTTAAAGCGCGAAACAAAAATGTTAAAAAAGTATTAATGTAATAGATTCAAATACAATTTTAGCCACAGTTAGGTTGTTAGTTAACTAGTTAGTTAGTAGTACCCTTTGCATTTTACCACGAACATTTTTTGCCCCTGATGTACTAAATATAATGTTTAACTGTATATATCTAGCCGGCTTTTTGAAAACGTTATCGTCAAATTGACTTTTTCCGTCCAACAGTTTTTTTCGGCCAAAAACTATATCCAAAGTAGCTCACTATAAAACCTAAGACTGCAACCATTGCTTTTTTTTTCTTCTCCTCTTTTCCTGATCTCCTCGCTCTTTCTTTTTCTCCTTTCCTTTTCCTTCGTTACTGTGATTTTGGAGCCGTTCTCGGGCTCAAGGAAACCTGCCTTTTGACGTCTTTTATGTCAAATGACTGCAAATTTCGTTGGGTTGGTTTTCCAAAAATCGGTTAGATATGCTATTTAATAAATAAATATATTTTATCACCAGATGTAGAGCCATTTTCTTTGGAAATGCTGTAAATAAACCACCACCATTATAATAATAATAATAATTAATAATAATAATAATAATAATAATAATAATAATTATCATTATTATTATTATTATTATACTCAGGTGAACGAGCGCTGACAGTAATTAGTTTTAAAAATATTCAGCTGAAACGAAATTTAATGCCCTCAGCTTTTAGTCAACCAATTTATCCTAATCTCCCCTCAAACGTCACTGATATTTTTTCCACAGGTGAAAACAAGGGTTTTCATTTCAGCTTTTGTGAAGGCAATTTGAAAAACTGTAAGTTAAAGGTGAGCTTCCTAATTCATCGAATTATTATTCATGTATCTTCATTACTGTTTGTTCACCTCCTACTTTTCTTTTCTAAGTAATCAAACTTTATTCAATTCAAATTCTTTCTTAAGGTAGACGAACAACAGAAGAGAACGGGTAAAAGTGTCAAGCGAAAAGAAGTAAAAGAAAACAAGTCATGCTATTATCTTCATCCGAGTGCATCACCTGGTTTGCTGTATTCCTTACCCTGTTTGTTGCTATAGTAACAGTGAACCTTATATCAAGCATTCTTTTTATAAAAAACCGCAGTCTTCACACTCGTGCCATGTACCTAGTTATAAACCAGACCGTAGCTGATATGTTTGTCGGAGGATTTTCTCACTTTGCTCTACTTCGAAACCTCTCACTACTCTCACGTGACGTTGTGAAAATGAACTTAAGCCCGGAACTAATTGTGATAATTGAGTTTCTCTACGTCTGGTTTCCTCTGACCTCTCTAACAAACATTGCAGTCATTTCATTAGATCGGATGCATGCAACAATTCGTCCCTTTAGGCATCGCCTGATCAAAAAGTGGGTATACGGGGTAACAATTGCTGCTGTCTGGGTTTTAGCTACACTGGTATCAACTGCCATTTTAATACTTATGCAATATGGGAAGGAATGGTCGTATTTTTTTTACTTATGGCAATCATACTGTTGTTTGTGTCTATTTGTTATCTGTGTTTCTTACTCTTCCATTGTTGTTAAATTTTTGTGTGGAGCGCATCCCCAGCACCATGGTGCAGACAACAGACAAAGGAAACTGACCGTAACATTATTCGTAATGACTATCGTATCCTTACTGATGGTGCTACCATATGCGGTTTATTTATTTTTTGCTTTGTCTCAATCTTGGACTAGTATCAAGAAATTCCTTTCTTTCCAGGATTCAGTACGTTTGGAGTTTTCTTTAATTATTCTATATTTTATGAACTCGCTTGTTAATCCCATAGTTTACACAATCAGAATGCCACAGTTCAGGAAAGCTCTCGTGCTGTTATTTAAACGTCAACGAAGACAAAATGCCCGAGATATTCCTCTTCATGCGCTTTAGTGTACTTTGTTTAACACTTGGAAGCCAACTAATGATTTCGTCATCTTCTTCTTAAAATAGAAAAAAAAATAGTAGTTGATTGTATACTATTTTTGCGACCTTTAAAGTTCGATAAAAAGGCTGTAAATAAATGTTGTGGCGCAATTTTTTCCTTGGTTCAAAAGCTATTATTTTCCTTTGTTTTAAACTCTGATTCTCAGTCGTACATAACCATACCGCAACACAAAGGAAAACAAAATCGAAACCATTGATGAGTTGAACCACAGTATTTCGTCAAATACTACAATTAAATATAGAGCCGGTTAGTAGTCTCGTTTATCTTTTCGGTACGTTTAGTATGCTTCCAAAATGAAAAGATATCCTTTACATTTCCTTGTTTAGAGTTAGTCATTATGATTGTGGTCGCAAAACATGAAGTACATGTATATCCATTATGTACATTAAGCGCAGAAGTTGTTTAGTTCTTAATTTGTTATTTCACAACGCGATATCTACTTTAATAATGCGACTTGTTTGAAGGAAAAATACCTCTGTTAGTAAAATCAACATTTTAAGAGACTTCAATAAAGTTGCTATTTATATAAACAGGATTTCTTTACGTTCTTATCTGTGTCTGGAATATCACAAGGAATGGGCCGGAAAAACGCTGAAATGGGAAAAGCACACTTCAGTGTCCTAAGGATGGGAAACGTCAGAAGATTGTTCAAAGTGTCTTTTATTTTTTTCACGCCATTTTTACGTGAGGATTATAAGAATGTTGTTTTTCCTCGTGGTGTGGTTAAGGACATTTGTGTACAGCTCTGCCACTATTGTTGAACATTTCCGGGACTTTTTTTGAGAGATAATATATAGCCAAATCTGGGAAGGGAAGTCAATTAAAAAAACTTTGAAAATGTTAGATGAATGAAGAATCATCAAAACTATTCAGCCTTTCTGGAGAAATAGAAAATTGTAAACAAGAGTTTTGCTTCTTCAAACATATATTTTACATCAGAAAACTTTCCCCTGATGAATGAGGATGGAGACATATCAAATAGTCTGGATTAAATATTGCCATCTCTGGAAACTAAATCCAGTAAATCCATCTTGTCAGTTCGTGTCCTTAAACTGCGCCATGAATTCTTGGTGAAAGGTTCTTAGTCGCTCAAACATTGGAGCAAACGTCTCTTCAGAAGGAAGAATAGTGATCCTACCAAGAAAGATTAAAACATGAAACCGTTTTAAGTTATTTCCTTCGTATGGATAGTGGGTCTGAAAAATCAAAACGTTTTGGATTATTTTAACCCATAATGTGGAGATAAAACGTGGCCATGGTCCAATTTCATCAGATTTTCACACGCTGACAGAACGTCGCTTTTACAGACAAGTCGCTTTTAGGACGCCTTACAGATCTCTTTTCCTACGTAAATTTAAGCTCTGGTCCATAACGTGTAATCCCGGTTGTAAGCCCTTTTATTTGTAAACACCAATTTTATTCCAGTTGCAGGCGCTCCACTAAGCCCCTATCACCCTCCCCCGGCTATGGGCAATCTGTGTATGCCCTTATTGCGTTCGTCAGAACGCATCCTAACTTGGTGTTCCTGTGGTACAAAGGCAGAATTTTTCGAGTTATCACGGGCGACTGCCGATTAGCCGCCCCTATTAATTTTATCGAGGGCATCTCGGCCGCAGGAAACTGGACTCCTTTGGACTCGTTCTCATTTCCTTTAGTCTCGTTTTTGTGCAGATATCATGCTAGTAGAATACAACGAACGCGGATCCATACTCAATGATTATAACTAGTTAGATGGGTGGTTCCGCGAACGTACAAGATGTGGAGAGTAATGTGTTCTGATTGGTTACCGGAGCAAAAAAGGAAACATTGGTAATTAATTTACAATGTACTATGGGATTTTTGTCAACGACCTTTTCGGTTCTATTCTTTGCCTGTTTATTTTGGATCATTTGTGGGAAACTGACCACTTACCCCTCCCCTAAGCCACCATCAACACTTACTTCTCACTTGGGGCAAAATGATGGCTTAGGGGAGGGGTAGGTGGGCAGTTTCCCAGAAACCTATAATGATCCGTTATTGTTTGTTGTTGTTGTTGGTGGTGTTGGTGGTGGGAAGGGGGGGGGGAGGTTAGGGAGAGCGGTCTTTCCAAATTTAAAGGTGCAGTCAACCTAATCAATCTAAATATATTAGACAAGCCTGTAAAAACCTTGTGACACAAGGGCGCAAATGATATCACAGAGAGGTTTTTAAAATCATCAACATTCAGACCTGAAGTTGATGGCCCTTGTTAATTCAAATCTTACCTGTAGTAAAAGTTGTTACCGCTGCCTTTCATATCAAAAACGTGGCCAGGAATCATGTAAATTCCAGTTTTCTCCAGCGCCTGCCAACAGTAAAACTCGTCTGGCCTAAATAACAATGACAATAGAAACAAGTCAGTAAACTCAAAAAATATGTCTACATTACTTGCGACTATATCCTTACTTTGCCAGACTACTCCACACTTCCACACTTCTGGGAAGTGTGGAACTAAGTAAAGAATGACAAAGGGTTCATGACTGGGGGAAAAGTGCGACAATATCCTTACTTTGTAGGACTATTCCACACTTCCACACCTCTGAGAAGTGTAGAACTAAGTAAAGAATGACAAAGGGTTCATGACTGGGGGAAAAGTGCGACAATATCCTCACTTTGTCAGACTTTTCCACACTTCCACACCTCTGAGAAGTGTAGAACTAAGTAAAGAATGACAAAGGGTTCATGACTGGGGGAAAAGTGCGACAATATCCTTACTTTGTCAGACTTTTCCACACTTCCACACCTCTGATTAGTGTGGAACTAAGGATGAAAAAGGAAAGTAGGGATCTTGTGGCCAGCACTGGACATTTGTGTAGAAATCAGGGCCGGAAACAGGACATTATACCTTAGCTGCCTCGATAGCTTTCTCTGAAAGTGTTATTCTTGGAAACGCATACATTGCACCTGCCACCTCGTTACTGACACTTAACATTTTCCATTGTGTTAAGAACCTCCGTTGTCATCTTTGCTTTCTTCCTGTAAGAATCCTTGATGGATGTTACTTCCTGTAATACGGATAAAACACAAAAATTAATAATGCATTAGGCAAGATATGGGAATACTGGAGGTAATCACCTCTATAGAATTTCCCTAGTGCGTCGCAATTAAAGATCATTTTCTATACATTTATAAGAAGATTGCCGAATGTTCCGAAAAAAAAACCGGAAATTTTTGTTTACTCGACCTAGTCCCTTAGCGACTTCAGTATTTGGCAAACTTTACTTGCGTAAGACTCGAATCTGACGTTTTGTTTCGGCAAAAAGAATCAATGGAAACCTATCCTGCGTGCCAGAGACTTTTCATGCACGGCTTCCGGTTTTTCAAATCTTTATCGCCACTCGTGGCTTCGGCCCGCGGGCCGAAGGATCCCGCCACCTGCGAGAAAAACCTCTGGTACCCAGGGTAAGAGGAACAAGCTTTATTTGTTAAATCGGCTATCCCATGGCAGGCATTAGAGGCGTCACTTGACTAAGTATCGTATTATTCACTGCTTTTATCTGTATCGTGAAAAGCTACGGTTCAATTTTTTTTTAGTTAAAAACTGGAACGAGTTACAGCCTGAGCAATAGAAACAAGCTGAAAAAAAAGAATAATACAACGCTAACAGAGGCTTGGCAAAACGATGCAGCCGCTCTTAATGAAGGTGTTTGAGCCCATAATATAACCACACAAAATAGCCTCGACTAGGCTGGTGGGCGTCAAGTGTAATACATTTACAGGGGGGTGAAAGAGGGTCCAATTATCTCTATGGGATTCAAGGAAATAATGTAATAATAGTAATAATAATAATAATAATAATAATAATAATAATAATAATAAAGAAATAAAAGAAACACATTTTGGTGCGCATATAATAGCAATAAATAAAATAATAATCTAATGATAACTTGTTAGCCAAACAGCTTTTCAAAGTTCATTGTTTTTGTTTGTTACGTTTGATATAATGTTTGGGAGATATTTCTGTTTGATATGAAGCTGTGATTAATTTTGTCATTCACAACTAAGTTCTCAAGTTCCATAGTGAATAAAGAATCGTTCTTGCCATTATTAACCATTACAATTCCCTCAAATTTGATTAGTGCATAAACTGCTTTATTTTTTCACTCAGTCCTATTACCATTATTTATTAACCATATTAACCAGACAGCCGTGAAAGAGCGTCTTTAAAAAATTACACGAGTGAGAAAGTAGCGCTGCTTATGATCACGCGAGGAACGTGAGTTTCTTCTGGGTTAAGATACAGTTGAGGAGCTTACCTTTGAAAACTTTTCATATGATTCATTGCCAGGCTTGGGAGGATTGCAAGTGAGTCCCATGATTACCTTGGGTTAGAAACCAAGCGTAATGAATACAGACTGAGTACAATATAATAAAGCACTAACAGCTTCCCCTGCAGGCGCTTCGAGACTCGCGCGACACAAGGCGAATGACTGGAAATAATAGAAACGCGAAGCTTTATGGGAGGGGTAAGAAAGGAGGGCAAAGCCATCTTTCACAATCCCGCCGTTCTTTGCGCGTAGTGCGAGATACTCCTAAGTACGATGAAGTTACATCTGAACTAATTGCAATTTTTTGCTTAACTACCTAATACCCTGACCACCATAGAACAAAACAAAAAAACAACAGGAACAAACAACAGAAAGCCAATATAACGAAATGAGATAAAACACAAGCAGCCAGGCTTGTCTAGGACTTGGGAGATGTTAATAAATCATCGTAGAAGTACTATTATTAAAAATACTTTCGCTCTAACGAAAAGGTAACTAAAGTCCTTCCAAGTATTCAAACTGGAAATTTTAGACTAGGGTTTGAGGCAGCCCTTTCATTAGGGACCTCTGCCCCATTTCACTTCATTAATTGTACCTGTCCTATTGTGGAAGGGCAACTTCTTGCACTCAGGTAAGTTTTAACTCGAGACCTGAGTTGATCATTGAACCCTACGAGCTCTATAGATCCACCTCTGAGCCCACATCTGCAAGGAACAGCAATGAAGTAAGTCGAGTAGTCTGGGTAGATGAACTATTGACCCATTGCAGCTTGTCATTGGCATGGTACGAAACCGCCATGATGGAGAGCAAGGTTGTTTACCGTTTACAAAAATACAGTTGGAAACAACCGGTAAATGGAACACCTGACAACTTTTCAAGAAATTTCAGTGGAAAATTTCCAGGAGCAACGGAATGTCTGAAAAGGTTTTTCTGTTTTTCCCGTCGTGTTTCTTTTCTTCAAAGCCACCCTTGATACCACTTTAAGGTTTTCGCGGCCGTTTTTTGGTAAATCAAACTGATTTGTACAAATAGTAAACGCGATTCCGGGACGACATCTACTAGCTCTGAATTTTGCTTACCACTTGCCCAAACCGTGAACCGAATGGTATGTCCGTGTAAACGGTAAACAACTCAAGACAAGCATTGGGAGAAGACCAACCATGGATGTCACTAAGATTTCAAGTTGCTGGGTAAATGCGACAAGTAGGCAGGGAATATAACAACTAGGGATTTCTTTTGGTCCTATTTTTCTTCTATTTTCCTGTGAAAGTAGCCGGGGGCCACGTTCATAGCAACCGGGGAAAATCTCCGGCCCCCCCTCTTAATGATAGCCCTGCAAACATAGGAAATTACAACTTTAAATGATGTGAGCTCTTTGTTTGTCTCGTCCCAGAGCGCCCCTCCCTAACTCCCCAGCATGGCGGTTTTGTACCACGTGAATGACTAGCTTAAAGGCCCTATTGTGAGAAAAATTAATAGAAAAAGTTTGTTTTGGCACTCATGATCAGTTGGCCACTTACTGGTGAGGCTGAGTAGCTGATTTTCCGATTTCCGTGGGAAACGAATTGTAAAGTGGCGAAGTTTTGCATCACTTTTTTCCCAAGTCAGTACAGTTAAAAAGAAAACCCACGCACAAAGCGTGCAAATGCGAAGAATTTTTCTTACAAACGAACCTTGGGGGTGAAATTAGCTCATTTAACGCGTAATCACGCATAACGGCCATTTCGCGGCAGTAAACAAGTCCAGAAAGCTGCATAAGTGGTCACAATTTTTTTGTTCACGATTACAACCAAACTTGTGTCCGACAGTCACCTTTTGCAATAACCAACTGACTAGTCTCGTAACCAGACCTCTTTTTGATTTCTTCGACTTCGTCTACAAGAGATCTTGGTAGGAGATTACCGACCGTTAACCGTTTAGTACAGATGAAGAATCCACCTCAAGACGATAATATCCACAGAGTGTTTCCTACCTTTCCTTGTGCAAAAAAAGAGGAAATGTCAAGCCAAAGACAAAATAATGTTTTTAATGAACTTGGAAAATACCTCGTAGCAAAGTGACCATTTAAGGTATTCCTGGAGGCTAAAGTGACTATATCCGATCGCCGTCATTTTTTCTCAGTTCAAAGACGATGGCAATAGGGATCTGCATGCCAAATTTAAGGTCGATATAACAAAAATTAAACGAGATATGAGCGAGAGAATTTTCGTTTCCAAGGCTGTTTTCGCGCGAAAAAGAAGACACCATACTGCGTCCAAAACATGTTTATCTGGCGATCTAACTCCCCATGGACGGACCTGTTGACAGCTTGTTGGAGTAAAGTCGTGTTATTTGATATGTTTATTTCTATCTGGCATGCATTGCAATGGCGGCGGACCGTGCAGTTGATGAGCTCAATGAAGCCTTCAAACACAGCGGGTTAGTAAATTTCCGTCGTACAGTTTCGTTAGTTTCGGAGATTTTAAGGATTTTTGGTTTGGTTAACGTAATATGTTTGCCAATTAGTTTTCAGACAGGTCCTTTGGGCCTCACGCGTCTCGTTCAAAGATTCACGAGAAAGCAGGATGAAACTGCAGAGCAAGCCAGGAAGCGGTTCTTTCGCCGCATTTTTGGTATTTTATGGGTACGTTTCCTTTGTTGTTTCTATTGTATGCCATGTAACTTCATGACAAAGACGTATAATTCTGCATTCAACCTTCCATTCTTTGTTGATACATGGTTGTGAGCGCTTTTTGCCGCTCTCGCCTGGCACGTGTGACGTGTTTTGCAGCTTGGTATTCATTTATGGTGCGATTATTTTTGCGCTAGTTTTCACTGCAAATGACCGTTTACAAGGTATATCTTTTGGTGATCCCTCGGCGATCCCTTGACTATTTTCGATTGTTATACGCGCGTTTATACGAAACAATTTGTTGTACAAGATACACCACGTTTGAGCTAAGTGGTCGTGAGGACAGTTTTGTTTTTGGACGGCTCTATCGAAGTTTGATCTTTCTTCGATTTGCGTTTTGTGGATTACTTTTCGATGTCAGTGCCAATGCGTTATCCAGTTTTTTTGTCCTTATTATCTCTCATACCCTTCTACTTCTACTAGCGATGAAGAAAATACAAATAACTTGATAAGGACTGCTAGGGAAAGGAGGACTGCAACTCTTATCAGTAATTCAGAGAAAAGTCTTTCCGGGTCTTTGACAAGTGACCCCTTAACCCTTTAGCTTCCAGAATGAATGATGGAGTCGAGTAAGGAAGTTTTAAACTTTAGAGTCTGTGGACAAAATCCTTTGGCTTTTGGTGTGACCATTCGAATGAAACCTCGTTGTTTATACTTTCATGTGGTACTAATTGTTTCTAAACCTTTTTAAAAAATGAAATTTGTAATTTGTAATTGGGAGAGCAACGGTTAATAATAATAATAATAATGATAATAATAATAATAATAATAATAATAATAATAATAATAATAATAATAATAATCTTTATTGAGATGACTTTTTCATATAAAATATGGTTTTCAAAAAGGATCTCATTAAAATTGTTATAAAATCATGGTTTGTCAGTGGTTATGTATGTACAGTCAATAAGCGTGGCAAACAAAGCCCAAGGGTACAAAATTGCCACTAAATCATTTTTGTCTACTACCCGAAGGTGGCCGCAAAAACAAACA